ATTCTTATCCATGCATTTGTCTCCAGTAGGTTAGACTACTGCAATGGCCTGCTCACAGGTCTGTCCAAACAGGCTGTAAAACAGCTGCAGTACATTCAAAATGCAGCAGCTCGAGTCCTGACAAGAACCAGGAAGTACGACCACATTAGTCCAGTCCTCAGGTCTCTGCACTGGCTTCCTGTGGCTCAGAGAATAGACTTTAAAACAGCTCTGCTTGTGTACAAGTCTCTCCATGGCCTCGCACCAAAATATATCAGTGACATGTTAGTACCATATGAACCAGCCCGGACTCTGAGGAGCACAGGGACTGGACTCCTGTTAGTGCCCAGAGTCAGAACTAAACATGGGGATGCTGCTTTTCAGATTCATGCTGCTAAAATCTGGAACAATCTTCCTGAAGATGTGAGACAGGCCTCCTCTCTGACAATGTTTAAAACAAGACTTAAGTTCTGTTTAGCTGTGCATACAACTGAGGGATTTTATATTTTTATCTTTCTTTTTAATGTACTGTGATTATTTATGATTTTAATACTTTCTTGTTTTGTTCAGCACTTTGAGTTGCCCTGTGTATGAATTGTGCTATATAAATAAACTTGCCTTGCCTTTGTCCCATTTGATAATCTTGTTTAAACACAGTCAGAATGTGCTCAGATTAAGATAAAAACCACTCGATTCAAGCAATTATTACCTCATATTTTATCATCTTTGCAGTATACTTAGTTAAGGCAGTCAAAGTGTGCTCATATTAAGATACATTTTGCTAAATTTGCGCCAATTTTGACTTTTTTTCATAACTTTTTGCAGTATGACATGGAGACAAGCAGCCGGCCTCTCAGTTCGAACCAGCTCTGATCCGTGGAGAGGCGCTCGCTGTAAGAATGTACTTCCTCTAGAGTTCAGAGAGTTTTTTTTTTTATAGGGCCACTGGGAACATGCCTTCCTCATCTGCATGAACGGGTTCCTGTCTCACAAGTGATGGAAGTGTAGACCTAGAGTGACCCTGCAAACAACAATAGAAGGTGATTTGAGCTCAGAATAACATTGTTACAACAGTTACAGACAGTGGAAGCAAAGGACCAGAACTGAGGCTGTAGATTCAGGACTGAGGCTGTAGATCCAGGACTGAGGCTGTAGATCCAGGACTGAGGCTGTAGATCCAGGACTGAGGCTGTAGATCCAGGACTGCGGCTGTAGATCCAGGACTGAGGCTGTAGATCCAGGACTGAGGCTGTAGATCCAGGACTGAGGCTGTAGATCCAGGACTGCGGCTGTAGATTCAGGACTGAGGCTGTAGATCCAGGACTGAGGCTGTAGATCCAGGACTGAGGCTGTAGATCCAGGACTGAGGCGATCCAGGACTGAAGACCCATCATGCTCAGCAGGAGAAGTCTGTGCTCATCCTCAGAGCTCAGAGGAAGAGGGAAACACAAAAACATTGTTATAGAACTGATTGTGGGAAAAACATGTCGGAACGTGTTGTGACAGAAGGTCTCTACAGGAAGATTCTGGAGTATTGGTACTGTTCAGATGTTAAAGCCCACATTTCTCACAGTAAACACCAGACATGTGAAAAGCACTGAGAGGACCTGTGTGGGGACCCTAATTCATATTAATATTCCTCACATACCCATAATACGTTATTTTTTACTTGTACAACAGTCTTCCTGAAAATTTGAGACAGGCTTCTACTCTGACAATGTACAAATCCAGATTAAAACAGTTGTGTTCAGATGTGTATACAAATGGCAGATTGTATCTTTACTATTTATAAATATACTGTGATTATTTAATATTTTAAAGCCTTGTGTGATTGTTTCACTCTTGTTTTGATCAGTACTTGTTCTAGAGTGTATGATTTGTGCTACTGTATACAAATAAACTTGCCTTCACCAACCTCTACAAAAATAAATGACCAACATTCACCTTCACCGTCTCCATCCATCCATCCATCCATTTTCTTCCGCTTTATCCGTTGCCGGGTCGCGGGGGCAGCAGTCTAAGCAGAGACGCCCAGACTTCCCTATCCACACACACCTCCTCCAGCTCGTCCGGGGGGACCCCAAGGCGTTCCCAGGCCAGTTGAGAGACGTAGTCCCTCCAGCGTGTCCTGGGTCTTCCCCGGGGCCTCCTCCCGGTGGGACGTGCCTGGAACACCTCCCCAGGGAGGCGTCCAGGAGGCATCTTGAACAGATGCCCGAGCCACCTCAACTGGTTCCTCTCGACGTGGAGAAGCAGCGGCTCTACTCCGAGTTCCTCACCCTATCTCTAAGGGAGCGCCCAGCCACTCTGCGGAGGAAGCTCATTTTGACCGCTTGTATCCGCGATCTCGTTCTTTTTGTCACTACCCAAAGCTCATGACCATAGGTGAGGGAGGGAACGAAGATTCACCAGTAAATCGGGAGCTTCGCCTTTCGGCTCAGCTCCCTCTTCACCACGACGGTCCGATACAGCGACCGCATCACTGCGCACGCTGCACCGATCCGCCTGTCAATCTCACGCTCCATCCTTCCCTCACTCGTGAACATGACCCCGAGATACTTGAGGAAGGACCTCTCCACCCACCTGGAGAGGGCAAGGCACCTTTTTCCGGTCGAGCACCATGGCCTCAGATTTGGAGGTGCTGATTCTCATCTCAGCCGCTTCACACTCGGCTGCAAACCGCCCCAGTGCATGCTGCAGGTCCTGGTTCGTTGGAGCCAGCAGGACGTCATCACTCGCAAAAAGCAGAGATGAAATCCTGTGGTCCCCGAACCGGACCCCCTCTGACCCCTGGCTGCGCCTAGAAATTCTGTCCATAAACACAATGAACAGAACCAGTGACAAAGGGCAGCCCTGTCGGAGGCCAACATGCACCGGGAACAGGTCTGACTTACTGCCGGCGATGCGAACGCAGCTCTGGCTCTGGTCATACAGGGACCGGACGGCCCTCAGCAGAGGACCCTGGACCCCGTACTCCCGGAGAACCCCCCAAAGGACACCCCGGGGAACACGGTCGAACGCCTTCTCCAAATCCACAAAGCACATGTGGACAGGTTGGGCGAACTCCCATGAACCCTCGAGTATCCGATGGAGAGTATAGAGCTGGTCCAGTGTTCCGCGACCGGCTAACCTTCACCGTCTCCAATGGGATAAAACCTCACGCATGTTAGTTCGGTCGCGTTCATCAAGTCTTTTAAACAAAAAAACTCTCCAAAAAATGTCACATTTATTGTTTATTTAGCAAAAACATGTATATTTCACTTGTTTTTCCTTCACATAATCCTCTGAACACCGGCAGCAGGCATCAGGATTAAACTGCACAGTACAAAAGGTCAGAAGGGGGCGCTAACATGGATCAAACACTACAGAGCAAGTGTGCAAATAGACAAGACACATATTAGTCAAAAAATTTGCTCCTTCCCCCAATAAAAAGACACAGTATTTTAAAACAGTCGTCAATGGAAACAGTTTTACAGATACTTTTATTGGATGTGTTTTAAAGGTACAGTGTGTAGTAAATAAAAACTATAATTGTGTGTTTCAGCAAAATGGTTGATGTTTCAGAGCAGATATGTGCTAAGAAGTTCATGGAGGAGTGAGAGAGAGGCCCTTAGCAATAAGCAGGTGATGGGAGACAGGTGTAGGGTCAGAGCACGAGAGCAGTGTGTGTGTGTGTGTGTGTGTGTGTGTGTGTGTGTGTGTGAATGGTTCCCTGGGAATGAGAAAATCAAGCATTAGTTCTAGAAAAAAGACTAAATAGCTCCGTCTCATTGGCAAATCTTGTTATAAAAAAGTTAGAGTTAGTTATGTGCTTGGATAACGGGAAGATAAAAAACACTTGATTCAAGCAGTTATTACACAGACAGCACTTCAAAAATGACAAAATACATCATTTTCGCAGTGTTTGTGTTTTTATATTTAACGGACTGAGAGCTGATTGGTTGATTTGTGAATGCTGGCACTAAAATAATACGACTGAAAGAACCAGATTTAAATGTTTGATTATGACTATACTGTTCCAATTGTTTGTTGTTGTTTACAATACACACACATTTTACCCAAATACACTACACACTGCACCTTTACGCAACCTTTCTGTTTCTCGTAACAGTCTTTAATCAATAATTGTGTGATTTATAAAGCACTATGTACACAACGACCTTATAAAAATAATCCTTCCATCTCCGTTCACATCCAAAAAATACCATAAACCTTCTTTGATAAAAGTGCAGTTTGTTCAGTAGTTTCTTGCGATACAAAAATATTCTCCCATCGACTTTATAATCGGACTGGACGGCTGAATGAGACCCCCATTGCGTTTGGCTCCAGAGGACGCTAATTTGAGTTGCTCCGGTCGAACTCCATGGACGAGTTTTTTGCAGAAATGTATCCGTGTCCGTGTAGCCAGTAAGAAGCCAAAACTCGAGAGGGCTGTGTTTTAAATTTACGACCCGTGATATTGTAGAAAACTCTGCAAAGTTACAAATTGTCAGTCCGTTTGGATGTAGCTCGAAAGACCAGACCTGGACAAAGCGTGGTCCGGGTGCCACATTCGGCCCGATTCACATTTCTATGCGGCCCCCGGACCCTCCACAGTTGCTAACCTCAAACCAGTCTGTTGCAAGATGACACCCAATAAACTTAACATGTGCTACTATGTTATACGTTTATTCTGTTCAAATGAATGAAACCAAAATGTTGTTAGCAATAATTTGAAGTCGCTTTTTGCTAATATAGATACAAAATCAACAGCATGAAACCAGGTCTAGCCTTCCACAATAGGGCGATACACCAAAATAATTGCCCATTCATGCGAAAGCGGCCATCTGTTCTCACTTATTACGCTAACAACAGCTGATGTTAGCGAAAGCAGGAACCTTGTTATCCTGATTTTTGAAGACAACATCAAAATAACTCATTGAAATCCAAAGTATTGAATGATTAACTTCGATATCACCCTTTAGCTAGCTTGCAGATTATCCCCGTCCATTCCTTTTGCAAAGTCCGATGGTAACAGCTCATCAGACGTTGGTGACCTCAACGTTAGCGTAGCTTCGGACTGGGCTTCCGTCTGCGGTGGGAGGAGTCTGGTCTCTGGGGAGGGATCCGAAACTGCTGTGGCAACTCAGGTCCCGTCCATTACGAGCTTTTGGGCTGAACCCCGACGGAGGCTGCAAAGATAAATAACTGATTTTAATGTTTCTTTGCTTGTTTTGTTAACTTATTCTGCCAATTGAAAGTAGTTATTGAAGCTGTCACTTATAGTATTACGTTATATGTTGGTAATAAGCACCCTCCTCTGGCTGCAAGGTGCTCTTTCGTATTAGTGCTCTTATTCGTAGAGCCACGTTTGAGAATCCAAGATGGGTGAATGTTACACAGAACTGTTCAAATGTAAAACGTGTATTCGAGTCCTGTACCTTGATGGTCCTTGTCCCTAGGGTGTTGACCTGTCTGTGTATTTATGTGTGTGTGTGTGTGTGTGTGTGTGTGTGTGTGTGTGTGTGCACCTTGACGGCCCTCCTCCTCAGTGAACCCTCGTCCTCAGAGTGTCGTCCTGAGTGCTGACGATGAAGAGAACTGTGTCGGAGCGGCGTGGGAGGGGTCCCCAGGCTGAGACGCTCAAAGTCCAGCTTTGCCTCAGCCCTGCACCATACACACACACACACACACACACACACACACACACACGCACACACGCACACACACACACACACGCACACACGCACACACACACACACACACACACACACACACACACACACACACACACAATTATACATACTTTCTCATATTTGCATTTGCCAGGGTTTTTTTTCTCTGTTCTGTTGTTGTCAAATTGAAAATTATGTAAAGTCCTCAAAGACGACCTACCCTTATCCTATAAAAATCACTGGATTGAAAGGATTTTAATATGTCCAAAGTTTTCCATTCCAAATAATATATGGACCTTCCATTTATCCCACATTGTCCCTAGTAGAAGTCCATTCACCTTGCTGGGCCAATGAGGTTCTTCAGCTCCTCCACCAGGTGGCGTCGGACCATGTGTTTGTTGCTGGGGATTCCCAATGCTGTTGCCATGGTTTCTGTATTGAACGTTGGGTCAAGAACCATCACGGCTCCATGGACGCCGCCGTTCAGGAGGTTGTCTGCAAACTCCTGTGGAACCAAACCAGACGAGAGTGACCAGAGAGAGACCGGAGAGAGACCAGAGAGACACCAGAGAGAGAGACCAGAGAGAGACCGGAGAGAGACCAGAGAGAGACCAGAGAGAGACCAGAGAGAGAGACCAGAGAGAGACCAGAATTAAAGAGGAAATAACAATTGGATTTAGATTCATCCAGGCTAATATCAGCACACGCCGGTGCAAATTGCCACCCCACCCTATCTGTTATTTCACAAGAGAAAAAAATAGCACCACACATTTGTATGGATAAAAGCAGATACAGAAATAAATGTCATCTGTAATAGATAGTTTGCGTAATTTCTACATAAACCCCAGCAGGTGGACTGCATCTGTTTTGAACCAGATCACACTGCGAAGAGTGAGGAAAAATTACTCAAAAATGGCAAAAAATGTGATTTGAGCACTCTGACTGCCTTAAAACATAATTTGCTAATGGGACAACGCAAAATGATCTTGTTTTAGAAAAATACAAGAAAGACAATATATAGTTAAAGTTCTTGGAATAAGACTGAATGTCAGAATACACTCAGATTAAGATCTTTGAGTATTGAGTAACATAACTAGCTGTAGATGCTGAAAATGCTTCAATACTATATATATATATATATATCTATATATATATATATGTAGTAGTAGTGCAGTTATATACTGTACAGTTAAATAGTGAGGGATAATAAGTAGATACAGTAAAGTGACATTGTTCTGTGACATTCTGAAGTTGCAGTATTACACATTGCACATGATTTAAGAATTTACTTAATTACAGAGGAATCAAATTTACAGGCTCTCTTTCACACAGCGAGGGTGAATTAGTCTGTCACTGAAGCTGCTCTCCAGAGCAGAGAGAGTGTCCTGCAGGGGGTGACAGTCATGGTCCAGCACAGATGTTAGTTTGCTCAGGACCCTCCTGTCCCCCACCTGCTGCACTGTGTCCAGGGAACAGCCCAGGACTGAGCTGGACTTCCTGATGACCTTGTCCAGCTTCTTCCTGTCCCTCTCTGTGATGCTGCTGTTCCAGCAGACCACACCGTACAAGATGGCTGATGCCACCACAGAGTCATAGGTCTTCAGTAGTGGCCCCTGTACTCCAAAAGACCTGAGCCTCCTCAGCAGGTAGAGCCGGCTGTTCTGTTGTTCCTTGGCTTGGCCACCTATTTTCTTACAGCTCTATTTTTTCTTCAGTTCTTTAAAATAACTGGTATCCTGAGCTGTACATTCTCCACATGTTCCGTCTGAAGTAAACATTCTTGCTGTTTGTGTAGATTTGTGTGAGACCAGGATGTTGCTGTTTATCTTTGTTAAAGCTGCCACATCATAATGTTGACAGGAGTGGTTTGTGTGTGTGTTTGTCCAAGGGATTTGTGCGTATGGAGACAGAGAGGAGCAGTCGACGCACAACAAGACACACACAAGAGACATAGATATGTAACAGGATACTTAGCTCTGTAAATATATCTCAACCAGTGGCTTTCATTAAAGATCACAGCAATAAGAATAATTAGCACACTGCAAAAAGTGATAAAATATGAGAATAAATGCTTGAATTAAGCGCTATTTTATCTTAATCATAATCATAATTTATCATAATCATAATTTATCTTAATCATATTTTATCTTAATCATGACTGTGTTAAAACAAAATTTGTTAATGGGACAACGCCATTTAGTCTTATTTCTTACATACATTTCTTGTGGCTGTCAAATGATGGAAGGCCCAAAAAGCAGGAATGCTAAACGTATAATTTAATGAACATAAAAGCCAAGGGTAAAAAACGAATTCTAACTCCAAAAGAAAAACAGGAAATAGGGGAATCGGCAGGAGAGGACAAACTGAGACAATGGACCAGCAACAAGGGGAGAGGAGCACAGGTACATACAGACACAGAGACACAGGTACATACAGACACAGAGACACAGGTACATACAGACACAGAGGCACAGGTACATACAGACACAGAGACACAGGTACATACAGACACAGAGACACAGGTACATACAGACACAGAGACACAGGTACATACAGACACAGAGACACAGGTACATACAGACACAGAGGCACAGGTACATACAGACACAGAGACACAGGTACATACAGACACAGAGACACAGGTACATACAGACACAGAGACACAGGTACATACAGACACAGAGACACAGGTACATACAGACACAGAGACACAGGTACATACAGACACAGAGCACAGGTACATACAGACACAGAGACACAGGTACATACAGACACAGAGACACAGGTACATACAGACACAGAGACACAGGTACATACAGACACAGAGACACAGGTACATACAGACACAGAGGCACAGGTACATACAGACACAGAGGCACAGGTACATACAGACACAGAGACACAGGTACATACAGACACAGAGACACAGGTACATACAGACACAGAGACACAGGTACATACAGACACAGAGGCACAGGTACATACAGACACAGAGGCACAGGTGAAACACATGAGGGTGGGGCAGACAATCAACAGGGGAACGGGACACAGAGAAATCACAGAGAACAGAAGTCAAAATAAAACCACGTACAAAATAACTAACAATCCTCACCATGACAGTATGGCTTTTAGTTTAGTTTAGTTACAGGTGTAATTACTCATTACAGTACATTGTTGCTCGTTATAACAGTATGACTTTTTCTGCTTCTTTATACAGTTTATTTCTATGACTTCATTACTGTCCTTAAACCCTCCTGCATCGGAGAAGAACGACTCAAAAAGCCAGAGGGAAAATGAGAGAGGGATCTTCTCACACTGTAGATCCAGGACTGAGGCTGTAGATCCAGGACTCAGGCTGTAGATCCAGGACTGAGGCTGTAGATCCAGGACTCAGGCTGTAGATCCAGGACTGAGGCTGTAGATCCAGGACTGAGGCTGTAGATCCAGGAGTGAGGCTGTAGATCCAGGACTGAGGCTGTAGATCCAGGACTGAGGCTGTAGATCCAGGACTGAGGCTGGTGTGTATTCACCTTGAGGTCTATGTCCCGGATCCAGCGGACGACTCTGTGGGACGTCCAGACCAGAGGGTCCATGTTCTGGTGCTCACACTGCAGACGGCGAGTCTGCAGAGCCTAAGGAGACACACAGGGGTCAGAGGTCAGAGAACATTCTGTCTGTATAAACCTGCAGAGATCGACTCTGCAGGTTGTAAGAGCGCTCACATCGACCGATTTCGGCAACTGATCATCTCCCATCATCTACTCTCAGTTGCCAAAAGCCGCCTTGCAACTAGTTGTCTCCAGTTACTCTGTCGATGTACGCTAGGCTTTAGAGCCATATGAATCAACTGGGACTCTGAGGAGCACAGGGACTGGCCTCCTGCTGGGGGCACTTTGAGTTGCCTTGTACATGAACTGTGCTCTACAAATAAACTGGCCTTACTTACCTATGAATCCTCAGAGCTAAAGACTCACTACTCTAATAATCTTGCTCTAGAGGGTATTACAGAAATATCTGCTGATGTACATTATAAGGATAATTTTCTGTTCTGTGTTGGCAAATCAACAACTTTACAGAGTGCTGTGATGTAGGGCTTTGTACGAAAACATTGAATTGAGTTAAATGCCTTGTGTAATTGTTTCTATCTTATTTACTTAAACACTCTGAGTTTCCCTGTGTATGATCTGTGCAATACATCCTTAAAGAAACATCTCAGCCTTAAATACACACACGTTTTACAAGTAACCATAGCAACAGTCCTCACCTCTTTGTCGAAGTTGAGCAGGTGCAGCAGCTCCACTCCGAGCAGCACACTGACCTGAGAGGACAGTAAGAGGACAGTTACCAGTAGGATAGCATCTCGCGGCTTCTGATGCTCTCCCTGTATTCTATGGAGAAGTGAAGACAGTACGGGCCAGAGGACTAATATAGAGAGTACAGTATGTGTTTGTCGTCATGGTCTCTGTGAGCTGCTGTGGTCAGATGCAAAACTTTATGACAAAAAAAAAGGTACAGAATCACTGCCAAACCTGCCACAGCCCTCCTGCTGTGTGTGTGGAGCATGGTTGTACAGTGTAAGGTGTGGAGCTGATCTATTGCCCGAGGGTTGCTGGCTTGTGTTGTGACAGGGAACTGCACGACTGAGCGAGCAAAGATCTGCAAGGCTCCTACTTTGAGGCTGACGAGCCACTGTGCAGTGTACGGTACTCACTCATATAACTCAGAAAGAGTGAGAGGACAGAGAGAGGACAGAGAGAGGACAGAGAGAGAGGACAGAGAGAGAGGACAGAGAGAGGACAGAGAGAGGACAGAGAGAGGACAGAGAGAGGGCAGAGAGAGGACAGAGATAGGACAGAGAGAGGACAGAGAGAGAGGACAGAGAGAGAGGACAGAGAGAGGACAGAGAGGACAGAGAGAGGTCAGAGATAGGACAGAGAGAGGACAGAGAGGACAGAGAGAGGACAGAGAGAGGACAGAGAGAGGACAGAGATAGGACAGAGAGAGGACAGAGAGAGAGGACAGAGAGAGAGGACAGAGAGAGGACAGAGAGAGAGGACAGAGAGAGAGGACAGAGAGAGGACAGAGAGAGGACAGAGAGAGGACAGAGAGAGAGGACAGAGAGAGAGGACAGAGAGAGGACAGAGAGAGAGGACAGAGAGAGGACAGAGAGAGGACAGAGAGGACAGAGAGAGGACAGAGAGAGGACAGAGATAGGACAGAGAGAGGACAGAGAGAGGACAGAGAGAGAGGACAGAGAGAGGACAGAGAGAGAGGACAGAGAGAGGACAGAGAGAGGACAGAGAGAGGACAGAGAGGACAGAGAGAGGACAGAGAGAGGACAGAGAGAGGACAGAGATAGGACAGAGAGAGGACAGAGAGAGAGGACAGAGAGAGAGGACAGAGAGAGGACAGAGAGAGGACAGAGAGAGAGGACAGAGAGGACAGAGAGAGGACAGAGAGAGGACAGAGATAGGACAGAGATAGGACAGAGAGAGAGGACAGAGAGAGAGGACAGAGAGAGGACAGAGAGAGAGGACAGAGAGAGAGGACAGAGAGAGAGGACAGAGAGAGGACAGAGAGAGGACAGAGAGAGGACAGAGAGAGGACAGAGAGAGAGGACAGAGAGAGAGGACAGAGAGAGAGGACAGAGAGAGAGGACAGAGAGAGAGGACAGAGAGAGGACAGAGAGAGGACAGAGAGGACAGAGAGAGGACAGAGAGAGGACAGAGATAGGACAGAGAGAGGACAGAGAGAGAGGACAGAGAGAGAGGACAGAGAGAGGACAGAGAGAGGACAGAGAGAGAGGACAGAGAGAGGACAGAGAGAGGACAGAGAGAGGACAGAGAGAGGACAGAGAGGACAGAGAGAGGACAGGGAGAGGACAGAGAGAGGACAGAGATAGGACAGAGAGAGGACAGAGAGAGAGGACAGAGAGAGAGGACAGAGAGAGGACAGAGAGAGGACAGAGAGAGAGGACAGAGAGGACAGAGAGAGGACAGAGAGAGGACAGAGATAGGACAGAGAGAGGACAGAGAGAGAGGACAGAGAGAGAGGACAGAGAGAGGACAGAGAGAGAGGACAGAGAGAGGACAGAGAGAGGACAGAGAGGACAGAGAGAGGACAGAGAGAGGACAGAGAGAGGACAGAGATAGGACAGAGAGAGGACAGAGAGAGAGGACAGAGAGAGAGGACAGAGAGAGGACAGAGAGAGAGGACAGAGAGAGGACAGAGAGAGGACAGAGAGGACAGAGAGAGGACAGAGAGAGGACAGAGAGAGGACAGAGAGAGGACAGAGAGAGGACAGAGAGAGGACAGAGAGGACAGAGAGAGGACAGAGAGAGGACAGAGAGAGGACAGAGATAGGACAGAGAGAGGACAGAGAGAGAGGACAGAGAGAGGACAGAGAGAGGACAGAGAGAGGACAGAGAGAGAGAGGACAGAGAGAGGACAGAGAGAGGACAGAGAGAGAGGACAGAGAGAGAGGACAGAGAGAGGACAGAGAGAGAGGACAGAGAGAGAGGACAGAGAGAGGACAGAGAGAGGACAGAGAGACAGAGGACAGAGAGAGGACAGAGAGAGGACAGAGAGAGGACAGAGAGGACAGAGAGAGGACAGGGAGAGGACAGAGAGAGGACAGAGATAGGACAGAGAGAGGACAGAGAGAGAGGACAGAGAGAGGACAGAGAGAGAGGACAGAGAGGACAGAGAGAGGACAGAGAGAGGACAGAGAGAGAGGACAGAGAGAGGACAGAGAGAGGACAGAGAGAGGACAGAGATAGGACAGAGAGAGGACAGAGAGAGAGGACAGAGAGAGAGGACAGAGAGAGGACAGAGAGAGAGGACAGAGAGAGGACAGAGAGAGGACAGAGAGAGGACAGAGAGAGGACAGAGAGGACAGAGAGAGGACAGAGAGAGGACAGAGAGAGGACAGAGATAGGACAGAGAGAGGACAGAGAGAGAGGACAGAGAGAGAGGACAGAGAGAGGACAGAGAGAGGACAGAGAGAGAGGACAGAGAGAGGACAGAGAGAGGACAGAGAGGACAGAGAGAGGACAGAGAGAGGACAGAGAGAGGACAGAGAGAGGACAGAGAGAGGACAGAGAGGACAGAGAGAGGACAGAGAGAGGACAGAGAGAGGACAGAGATAGGACAGAGAGAGGACAGAGAGAGAGGACAGAGAGAGGACAGAGAGAGGACAGAGAGAGGACAGAGAGAGAGGACAGAGAGAGGACAGAGAGAGGACAGAGAGAGAGGACAGAGAGAGGACAGAGAGAGGACAGAGAGAGAGGACAGAGAGAGGACAGAGAGAGGACAGAGAGGACAGAGAGAGGACAGAGAGAGGACAGAGAGAGGACAGAGAGAGGACAGAGAGAGGACAGAGAGAGGACAGAGAGGACAGAGAGAGGACAGAGAGAGGACAGAGAGAGGACAGAGATAGGACAGAGAGAGGACAGAGAGAGAGGACAGAGAGAGGACAGAGAGAGGACAGAGAGAGGACAGAGAGAGAGGACAGAGAGAGGACAGAGAGAGGACAGAGAGAGAGGACAGAGAGAGAGGACAGAGAGAGGACAGAGAGAGAGGACAGAGAGAGAGGACAGAGAGAGGACAGAGAGAGGACAGAGAGAGAGGACAGAGAGAGAGGACAGAGAGAGAGGACAGAGAGAGGACAGAGAGAGAGGACAGAGAGAGGACAGAGAGAGAGGACAGAGAGAGGACAGAGAGAGGACAGAGAGAGAGGACAGAGAGAGGACAGAGAGAGAGGACAGAGAGAGAGGACAGAGAGAGGACAGAGAGAGGACAGAGAGAGAGGACAGAGAGAGAGGACAGAGAGAGAGGACAGAGAGAGGACAGAGAGAGAGGACAGAGAGAGGACAGAGAGAGAGGACAGAGAGAGGACAGAGAGAGGACAGAGTGAGGGGACAGAGAGAGGACAGATAGGGGACAGCAGCAGACTGACCTGGTGGGTCTTCTTGCTGATGTTGAGGTGGCGCTCTAGGTCATGTCGGGTCAGAGAGTTTAGTACTCTCCCGTCCACCAGGTGGTTATGGAAGGCCTGCGAGTACTGAGGCAGACCCACGTCACTGAGCCACGCCTTCGCCACCCAGTGATGGTCCATGTCCGCGGCTTTGGACAGGCTGAGGACAGCGAGAGGACAGTGAGACAGGACAGTGAGACAGGACAGCGAGAGGACAGTGAGACAGGACAGTGAGACAGGACAGCGAGAGGACAGTGAGACAGGACAGTGAGACAGGACAGTGAGACAGGACAGCGAGAGGACAGTGAGACAGGACAGTGAGACAGGACAGCGAGAGGACAGTGAGACAGGACAGTGAGACAGGACAGCGAGAGGACAGTGAGACAGGACAGTGAGACAGGACAGCGAGAGGACAGTGAGACAGGACAGTGAGACAGGACAGTGAGAGGACAGTGAGAGAGAGTTTTCTGTGACAGATTTTTGGTCTCATAACTGGTTTTACAAAGACAATATCAACATTTTAAATATCCAGGATCACACCATACTAATCTTACTTTTATTGAATATAGGTTTGGAGTTTTTTATAAGCTTTCTGAACACAATGACTGAATTTTTGGATTGAAACAACTGGAACAAAAATAAATAAAGTTCTGTAGACTGGTTTACACACACAGTATGTTTAGGGACTAATAAAATAAATAAAAAGTGTTTGGCCAGAAATGAGCTCTAACATGCCATGCCGTTTTAGCCGAAATGGGAGGTTAAAGACAATATTTCAAAAACTTCAAATCTTGGTGCGATATATTGGTTGATCTCAATCTCCCTTCTATTGTGGGAAGAATAAAGGATCTCCTAAATGTACCAAATCTGTATTCCATGGACCTTTGAACTACTTTTTCTACTGTAGTCCTGACACTGACCCTTTCCCGTTCTCTGCATCTCTGTAGTCCTCAATGGCCAGACGGAGTTTCCTGCGGTGCATCAGACTGGTGACTCCCAAACCCACCTCCAGGTCTTCGTCCGTCAGACCCAGCAAAACCTGCAGCAGGAAAGAGAACAAAGTTTCACTATAGGAGAGCAGTTTCAAGATATAAATTCAAGGTTATTGCAGCAGCAGAAAGGCACACATTAAACAAAAAATACACAACAGGAAAACAATTGGTTTAAAATACCGATGGCAACAGAGTTAAAAGAGTTCTTAAATCTGTGGGCTCACCTTCCCACTCTTGACGTTCTCTGAGCAGCTGCGGATGTACATGGGCAGAGCCATGACCACCTCGAGCCAGGCCTGCACCGCCCCGGCCTTCCACTGGGACATGGGGGTGGTCCGGGCCAGCTCCACCTGCTGCAGCCGATCCAACTGCTCCTCCGACCCATCAGACAGGCTCAGGGAGTGACGGGTCGGACTGGACGGGCTGTCAGAGTCTTGGGGACCAAAGGGAGACCAGAGGGAGCAGAGAGAGGGCATAGAGGGAGCAGAGGGGACAGAGAGAGCAGAGGGACCAGAGGGAGCAGAGAGAGGGCACAGAGGGAGCAGAGGGGACAGAGAGAGCAGAGGGACCAGAGGGAGCAGAGAGAGGGCACAGAGGGAGCAGAGGGGACAGAGAGAGCAGAGGGACCAGAAGGAGCAGAGAGAGGGCACAGAGGGAGCAGAGAGAGGGCACAGACGGAGCAGAGGGACCAGAAGGAGACAACAGAGACCAGAGGGACCAAAGACAAGGGATAGAGGGAGTATAGAGAAACCAGAGTGAGGCTGGGGAAGTGCTGACGGACATTCTCACTATAGGTAAAAATATAGTTAGGTAATTTTATAACGTGATGTTTGCCGTGTTTTTCGTTGGTATTTTACACCTTGTCTCTGGGACTACAGTTGGAAAGTAGCTGTAGCTGATCCTGACACATTTACAGTCATGTTGATTCATGTGTACTATCCGTATTCAAATGAACTCATACATGATTATAATGATTCAGGTTGATGATTTCACTAATTAAAACAAGTGTACATTATGATATTTTACTTAACAACATACTTTCTGGACTTCCATGCCTATACTCAATCACTCATTATATTTTATTCTCTAGAGTGAATGGCAGTTGTACCAGAGACATTATGTATATATGTCAAGATTGTCACGCAGTGAATTAATTCATATTTTCTTCTCAAAGTAGAGTTGAACTTCTAGCGTTCTGTCAGCAGATGGCGCTCCAGCGCAAGTGAAGAAACACAACCCTCACTGATTTGGCTTCATTTCGATTGGAACAAAACACAGTTACATGTCACCCATCTTTTTAAATCAAGCAACACGGTCCTTCATGCAATTATAAAGTCCACTTTTTTAGTTACTGCTACTGAAGCTCCTACTGTACATGTGTATTGTTTTTTATCTTCCAACCAAGCAAAATTATTCATATTTTGATATCTCTTTACTACTACTGCTATGGCTACTACTACAATGACCTTATACTACAACTGCTTTACTACCAATGTTGCCACTACTAATATGACTGCCATGAATACTATTTCTACTATTGGGCTATTATTGTTTCAAAAATAGTTGTGCATACATAAACAGATTTGAGTGTGTGTAAAAAGATTTGTGCGTATGTAACCAGATTTGTGTGCTTAAAAAACAAAACAGATCTTTTGATTCAGTCCTGCCTTGGAAGATTTGGGTCCCCAGATTTGTGGGTGTTTGACAGTTGTATCTGCAACAGAACAATCTGAATGTAAATGACCACGTTGTTAGAAGACGACCATTTCTGCAGAGTTCTGACGCTCTTTTTTATTACTACTTTTGTGACTGTGATGAATAATACAAATTCTACTACTACTCAACACTTCTATTCACACTACTACTACTACTATATATTACGACACTAGTACCACTACCTCTATACTACCAACATTTCTGATTCAGTTGGAGGTTGGAGTGTTGAACAAACCCGTTGTGGACACAGGACTCGTCTTACTGCTGAGAACTTGAAGTAGAGCTGGATCCAGGAGGACATATCCAAACCGTATGGATCGGCCCCCAGGGGTTGTTGTGCTGGGGGTGATGGGGGCCACACAGGGTTAAGAGCACAGGGGTCAGTATCGACACGGTGTGCTGCTGGTGGGAGGTCAGGTCCAACATGGCGACCGGGCATTGGTCGATTTAAAGTGGAGCAAGAGTCCACCGAGCTGTCTGAATCCAGGAAGTGATACTATTGCCCTATTGTGGAGAGCCAGACCTGTTTTAACCTTAACATGGTTCAATGAATGCAATTAAACTTAATTAAAGACTCTAGGTCCAATTTACTTTTAGTAGATTTTTGTGGACACCTCAAAGAATTAATTCAAGATGGAAAAAATACAGAAATGTGAGTCATTCTTTTTTACAAGAATAACTCTTTATTTACACCATCATCATAAAGATAACCCAGTTTTTATATTTGTTAGTGGACATTTTGTGTTCATTATTTAGATCAGGATGAAAGTATAACATGGTAGCAGCCTGTACAAGCCTTGACTGAGAATTTTTGCCCGATTCATTTATAAAAGAAACAGGCCGCATAGAACAGGGAATTGGGCCGGATGTGGCCGCCGAGCCGCACTTTGCCCAGATATGGACTCTAAAAATAACCTGACGATAGACTGGACAAAGAACCTGAGTCCACTGTTGCCCTTTCTCTCAGTTGGCCAAATAGTATAATTTTGATCAATTGTGTGTTTTGATGCCAGTCATTGAAACCTGGTTTAGATGATTACTTAGAAGGTTCTTTTTAAGATAAGAGCGTAAAGAAGCTAGTCTAGTACACTTTTGTCTTATTAAAAGAACCTTTTACGTATTAATCATAATGAAGACATTATTAACTTTTTACATTGATTATGTTTTACTCCAATCACTATGAAACTTTGAAAAAATCCATGGAAAATGACATGTTTTTGAACAAGTTTCTTTGAAACATTGTTTATTGACCTTTATTTAACCAGTAGAAACCCACAGAGAGGAAATTAAAAGACATTGATGGACATACAGTGCCTTGCGAAAGTATTCGGCCTCCTTCAACCTTTCAACATTTCGCCACATTTCAGGCTTCAAACTTAAAGATATAAAATTTCAATTTTTTGTCATGAATCAACAACAAGTGGGACACAATCCTGAAGTGGAACGAAATTTATTGGATAATTTAAACTTTTTTAACAAATAAAAAACTGAAAAGTGGGGCGTGCAATATTATTCGGCCCCTTTACTTTCAGTGCAGCAAACTCAGTCCAGAAGTTCAGTGAGGATCTTTGAATGATCCAATGTTGTCCTAAATGACTGATGATGATAAATAGAATGCACCTGTGTGTAATCAAGTCTCCGTATAAATGCACCTGCTCTTTGATAGTCTCAGGGTTCTGTTTAAAGTGCAGAGAGAACCATGAAGACAAAGGAACACACCAGGCAGGTCCGAGATACTGTTGTGGAGAAGTTTAAAGCCGGATTTGGATACAAAAAGATTTCCCAAGCTTTAAACATCTCAAGGAGCACTGTGCAGGCAATTATATTGAAATGGAAGGAGTATCAGACCACTGCAAATCTACCAAGACCCGGCCGTCCCTCCAAACTTTCATCTCAAACAAGGAGAAGACTGATCAGAGATGCAGCCAAGAGGCCCATGATCACTCTGGATGAACTGCAGATAACTACAGCTGAGGTGGGAGAGTCTGTCCATAGGACAACAATCAGTCGTGCACTGCACAAATTTGGCCTTTATGGAAGAGTGGCAAGAAGAAAGCCATTTCTCAAAAGATATCCATAAAAAGTCTCGTTTAGAGTTTACCACAAGCCACCTGGGAGACACACCAAACATGTGGAAGAAGGTGCTCTGGTCAGATGAAACCAAAATTGAACTTTTTGGCCACAATGCAAAACGATATGTTTGGCGTAAAAGCAACACAGCTCATCACCCTGAACACACCATCCCCACTGTCAAACATGGTGGTGGCAGCATCATGCTTTGGGCCTGCTTTTCTTCAGCAGGGACAGGGAAGATGGCTAAAATTGATGGGAAGACGGATGGAGCCAAATACAGGACCATTCTGGAAGAAAATCTGTTGGAGTCTGCAAAAGACCTCAGACTGGGACGGAGATTTATCTTCCAACAGGACAATGATCCAAAACATAAAGCCAAATCTACAATGGAATGGTTCACAAATAGACGTATCCAGGTGTTAGAATGGCCAAGTCAAAGTCCAGACCTGAATCCAATCGAGAATCTGTGGAAAGAGCTGAAGACTGCTGTTCACAAACGCTCTCCATCCAACCTCACTGAGTTCGAGCTGTTTTGCAAGGAAGAATGGGCAAGAATTCCAGTCTCTCGATGTGCAAAACTGATAGAGACATACCCCAAGGGACTTGCAGCTGTAATTGCAGCAAAAGTTGGCGCTACAAAGTATTAGCGCAAGGGGGCCGAATAATATTGCACGCCCCACTTTTCAGTTTTTTATTTGTTAAAAAAGTTTAAATTATCCAATAAATTTCGTTCCACTTCACGATTGTGTCCCACTTGTTGTTGATTCATGACAAAAAATTAAAACTTTATATCTTTATGTTTGAAGCCTGAAATGTGGCGAAACGTTGAAAGGTTCAAGGGGGCCGAATACTTTCACTGTATATCAATCTATGGACATTGGTCATCGGCCCCTTGTAGACCAATGTATTATATATCATTACATTTCCTTTGTTTGATTCTCTGATCTGTGTTAGCAAATCAGCAACTTTTTGAAGTCCATCAAGATAACTACTGTTGTGAAAAAGGGATGTACAACAATTCTTTGAATAGAATTGAGAGAGTGGAACCGGGCGAAACTCTAGCTTGCCTTAGTGCCTTGGTGCTATGAGACTTGGGTGGCATCTCTGATTGCCACCCCCCTGACCCAGAAATGGATTAAAGGGTAGAAAATGGATGGATGGATGATTCTCTCCAAAATATTTTAAAATGGACGTCAGACAGTGTGTGCTCAGCTTTAGCCACATTAGCTTTAGCTGCTTCACCGCAAAAATATCACTTTCTTTCATTAATTGCTGGATTCAGACAGCCCTTTGAGAAAGCTACATGAGCTACGTCAGGTGGCCATGTTGGAATGCTTTCAGGGGAAAAACACATGTTAAAATGCAAAAGGATTACAAGCGAAATACACAACAAACACACACACCACAGGGAGGCGAGAGAGGACAGCCACAGACTCAACCTTATCCAGTTTTTATTTTAAAATACTCTTCTCTTTCTTCGAGTTTCCATGCCTTTAAAGATTCCTAAAACATCTGAACACCTCATGGCAGAAATATACTTAAATAAACTCTTTTATAGTAATAATATTAATCATTAAGTTGCATTTACAAACAAAATAAATGTGGAAAGTATGTGTCACCTTGGCTTAATACAGAACATAACGC